GGCGGCCCGGCCCCTCCGTGCTGGCTGTTCACACCTGCGGCCTGGGCGAGGTCACTGCCACCCCCAGTGCCCGGCCGGCGGGAGGCAGGGGACAGCGACCGGCCTCGGCAGGGTTTGGCTTCTCCGCGCCCCGGCCCTGCCGAAGGCCGGTGGACATGCTTCTGCCCCCAGATCCGGGACTTCCTCCGGCAGCTCAAGGCCCGCGTGGCCCGGGAGGCCCTTCAGAGAGTGCATGCAGGTGGCCCACAGGCTCCGAGGCACCGAGAAACGCAGCCCCCAGCCCCCATCGAGGTGAGGCAGGACAGGGTTGCCCAGGGCTGTTCCTCGGAGGGTGGGGTGAGTTGGAAGGGGGACAACCAGGTCAGGGGTGCCCCAGAACTTGGGATACCCCTGAAGTTGGCCCTACCTGACTACACACTTCTGGCTGCCCCATCCAGGTATGGATGGATCTGGCTGAAAAGATAACGGGTCCGCTGGAGGAAGCCCTGACTGTGGCCTTCTCACAGGTACAGGCACCCTAGGCAGGTTGGGGGTCCTCCAGGGGACGCGGATGTATGTCTGAGCCCACGTAAGGTGAACCTCAGGCCCGGGCCCTTCCCAGCCAGTCACTGGACTGTCTGTCCACGGCCCTTCGACGGGGCCCCAGTGTCTGTCTCACCTGCGACGCCGCCTCGGTAATGGGGAGGACCTGGGGGCTGGTGGGGTGGGGGGGCCCATCTGTTTGCATTGGCAGGGGAGTAGCAGATGGGAGGACTTCCCCCCAACTGCTCCCCCGTCTCTGCCTACCAGGTGCTCACCATCGCGGCCACAGAGCCCATCAGCCTCCTGCACTCCAGGCCCCCCAAGCCCACACAGGCCCGTGGACAGCCACTGCTCCTCAGCCCCCCTGGAGGGCAGGAGAATCAGAACCCCCAGCCCACCCCCGGCCCTGCCCCCGAGACCCTCCAGCCCACCCCTGGCCCTGCCCCCGAGGCCCCTTGCCCTGCCCCTGTGGCACCTCCCACATCGCTGCCCGGCTCCCCCGCCCAGGACTTCGCTGTGGACTTCGAGAAGATCTATAAGTACCTGTCGTCCGTCTCCCGCAGTTGCCTCGGCCCCGAGCTCTCTGCAGCTGGTGCGTGGAATGGGAGGGCCGGGGGCACCTCCCAGGCCAAGCCCGCCCCCCTCACCCCACCGCCTCTGTCTATCCAGAGTCAGCTGTGGTCCTTGACCTGCTCATGGCCCTTCCCGAGGAGCTGCCACACCTGCCCTGCGGTGCCCTGGCCGAGCATCTGCTGGACATGTATGCGCACCTGACCGCCCCCCAGCCCCACCCAGCTAGTGGGAGCCTGGGTCCTGAGGGCGAGGACGTGGGCACCGGCTCCGTGGGGCAAGAGGCGGCTTGCCAGGGTCCCTCCCCGGGCCAGGAGGACACTGGGTGCGGTGAACCGAGTTCTGCCTGGCAAGCAGCTGGGGTCTGTCCCCTGAACCCCTTTCTGGTACCCCTGGAGCTTCTCGCCCAGGTGACCACCCCTGCAAGGTGAGAGACCTGGGCAGAGGACACCCCAGACAGACACCCATGAGCTCCCAGACCATCCCATTACGGCTGGCACTGGGCTGCCCAGCACCATGGATCATGGCCTGTGCTCGGACCGGGGTGGGAGGGTGGCCTTCAAGAAGCTTGAGTCAGTGGGTGTCAGAAACCCCATCCTGGTACTACAGGGTTTCTGCCACAGAACCGGGAGGGGGCAGCAGCAACCCGATGGCCACCCTGCCCCGCCCACTCGCGCCTCATCTGTCCCCTGCCCAGTCCCCTGACCTTGAGAGTGAATACAGCGCTGGGCTCCCACTCCTGTTGTTGTTTTTGCAGTTCAGTTTGGGGGTGGGGCCAGACGCCAGAGGGAGAAGTGGAGGCAGGAAGGTGGAGCTGGGATCTGGGCCGCAGGTGGGCAGGTGGGCATGGGGGAGGGGCGGCTGCAGGTTAGGAGGACCACAGTGAGCGCTGGGGCTGAGGCTGAGGCTGAAGCCCACTGCCAGGGAAGGGTTGTGGGCGCGTATCTCCTCCCCGCACACTGGTGCCTGAGGCCTGGCTGCCAAGGGGGTAGATGAGAGCAGGCCCTGAGGTGACTTCGGGGGTAGGAGGGCTGGAGTCCCCTGTGCCAGAGGCCCAGTTCTGGTTCCCTCCCCAGGGTTCCGGCGGGGGGCGCAGCCGTGTCCTCCCACGCTCTGCCTCCTCGCAGGCAGAGCTCACGGCGCTGGCGTGTTCACGCAGCCTTCCCTTTATAGAAACCCGGCTCTCCCCATACACGCTGCTCACGGCCCCCGGGGCACACGGCAGCCTTCAGGCGGGCGGCAGAGCCAGCCAGCCCACTCATGGTGACGCCACGTGGCACCAGACCAGGCTTCCCGGCGGGAGCGGCGGCTGCCGGAGGTGTGAGCTCGCTGCCAGGGCGCTTCCAGCGCCAGCAGGCTGTGCCAGCTTTTGGAGACAGGCGCCAGGGCTGGCTGAGGGCACGCTGTCTCTGCTCGCCGGCAGGCAGGCGGGGTCCCTCCCGCAGCCCCCAGAGTCTCCCCAGGCCCCGGCAAGGAAGGGGGGGGGGGTCTTGGCTGTGCGGGGATGAAATGGGGTTGGTTACACATCAGTCCCCCAAAGCTGGGTCTGAGTGCCTGAGGCCCTGGGTGGCTGTTAGCAGGTGTAAGTCAGACCAGGGTTCAGACCCCCATGCAGCTGGGCCGGGGCCCAGCCACTGAGTACCGGCAAGTGGCCCCTGCGTGGAGCTGGGGCCAGGGACCTGTGGAATGCGGGCGCCAGGAGGCGGTGCCCTGGGCCCTGGCGGGGCTGGCCCGTAGGAGGCCGGCAGGAGGCGGCAGGAAGCGGTCAATAGCTTTTATTATCACCTGCGGCTAGGAGGCAGGGTGGAGTGAGAGGCATGGGGAGGGTGCTAGGGGACAGCGTCTGGGGGCTCCCTGGCCTGGGCTGGGGGGAAGGCGCCTGCCAAGTGGGCACAGCAGCCATTGGAGCTTATCAGGAAGGTTTTTCAGTCCCAAGCAGGCTGCTCCGAGGGCCCGCGAGAGCCTGCCCTGCAGCCTCGCCCAGCACTGAGGCAGGAGGGGTGCGGGAGTGGGGCTGGGAGTGAGACTGGCCCATCACAGGGAGGGGAGGGTGGCACAAGGGGCTCCGACTCCAGGAGGCGGCGCGACGGCTCATGATCTGGTCGGCACAGAACATGAGCTGACACCTACACCCTGGAGGACGCGGGGCCTCTTCCCACCTGGGCTGGGGGGACGGGCGGGCAGGTGAGCTGAGGGGAGGGGACAGGGTGCGGAAAAGGCACCAAGTGGGGCTGGGACCTGTAGGAGGGAAGACGGGAGGGGTCGGGGCGGGTCTGGACCCAGGCGCCCTCTGCCCTCGGCCGGGCTCTGGGGCGGAGCCCGAGCGGAGTCCCGGCCAGCCGGCACCGCGGGCGGGTCGGTCTTGGGGGAGAGGCCCAGCCGAGGCCCGCCCGCGGCGCCGCACCCCTCAAACCAGGGCGTAGTCGAACTGCCCGCGCTCCAGTGCCTCCTTGTGGTCGGTCCAGGACGAGGCGGGCATGCGGCTGTAGGGGTCGAGCAGGATGCGCACGCAGCGCACCATCAGCAGCACGAGCACCACGAGCAGGCAGAGCACGAAGGCGAACACCGTGCGCTGCTCCGCGTCCAGGCCCGCGCCCACCGGGGGCCCCGTCGACGGCGGCAGCGGCTCGGGGGACAGCGTCCACGCCGCGCTCATGGCTCACATCGCCGC